AGTTAAAGTAACACAGCGCCGTATCACAAAAAATGGCCTGGTCAGGTAGGGGGATAAATCCTGTGGAGGGCAAGTGGTTAAGCAAGCAATAAACAAATTAAAGCCTAACACTGGCTAACACTTCTAAGCAGACACAACACGATTTCTTTTCAATTAGAAAAAAAGTTTATTTCACTTCTTCCATATTCTTTTTTTGGAAATTTATTTATCTTATTATTGCTTTAAACTGTAATAAGGTACAAAGCAACCCAACAGACAGTCAGAACAAGCACTTGCATATTACAATAGCACCAGTGGCTACGATTGAACACAGGTATAAAAACAGGATGTATAATAATTATTATTATTACACAGTATTTATATAGCGCCAAAGGGTATGCTCAGCACTGTACAGTAACAAGGGGGACAGAACATGAGACAAGACAGTAACAAAACAATACACGAGGGGTTCGAGCTTACAATCTAGGAACAGATATGTGAAAGGGTACGCTAAAACCTCATGCAAACCAATGGGATTACAGAGATAATCACATAAGAGATCTGAGCAACTCCCTATTTAAACACTTTAGTACAGTGCTATAGCCAAAAGATGGCTACAGCGTGGCTCTGTAGTTCTGGGAGGGCGTCCATTGACGGCCCCCTGTACCCTCCTAGGGCGTGCATTGAGCACACTCAGTGGCCATGTAAACAGACTTGCCAGTTATTGGCAGTCTTTTCCTCACACACTGTGTCTGTGTGAGAAAAGGACAGACGATACTCGTCAAGGCTGTTAGATTATTCAGCCCCATCACTGCAGCTTATCTTATCAGTGCCTGTCAGTGCTGCCTATCAGTGCCCATCAGTATCGGCTTATCAGTGCCCATTAGTGTTGCCTCATCAGTGCCTCCTCGTCAGTGCCCATCAGTAACAGCCTATCAGTGCACATCAGTGTTGCCTCATCAGTGCTGCCTCATCAGTGCTGCCTCATCAATGCCTCCTCGTCAATGCCCATCAGTGCAGCTTATCAGTGCCCATCAGTGTGCCTCATCAGTGCCTATCAGTGCAGCCTCATCAGTGGCCATCAGTGCAGCCTCATCAGTGGCCATCAGTGCAGCCTCATTGGTGCCCATCAGTGCAGCCTATCAGTGAAGAACAATTGCTTATTTGCAAAATTTTATAACAGAAACTAATAAAAATGTTTTTAAATACCACAAAAAGAAAGCTCTATCTGACTAAAAAAAGATACAAATTTCATATGGGTACAATTTTGCATGCTTCTGCAATTTTAATTCAAAGTGCGACAGCACTAAAAGCTGACAATTGGCCTGGGCAGGAAGGAGGTGAAAGTGCACGGTATTGAAGTGGTTAAAGGGAAGTCATACAGGAGCATTGGAAAAATAATGCAGAAAATTGCCCACAAGATAAATCAAAGGGCAAGGGATACAACCTGACATATGTACATACAGTACATATAAGAAATATTTGGGGGTAATTAATCTGACACCGTAGAGGTAGGGCTAACTCAGCACCCCCCAACATTTGTCGAATTTAGGAGGCATTCTCCTATGGGCATGGGTGGCTTTATAGAAGGGAAGCGGTTTATTAACCAAGGTCTTCTAAGCCTTCCAAGCTAATGCTTCTAAGAAAAGATAATCTGCTTCCTAGCAAAAAAGAAAAGCAGAGTGAGTAAGGTACGAATAACTTTCATAGGGGCCAATGAATCTACCAGGCTAGAGAGAAACTTCAATAGTGGGGGCGATGGTGATAGCAGTAACAGATTTCACTCACTGTATGATATCCTACCAGTATTTTGAATAGCTGTACAATCCAACAGTTCCTCCATATTCTACACTGGGCAATTACTATGCTTATGATTATACTTATGCTGTGATTATGCTTTATAGCCTAAAGTTAAGCCTACATTAAAAACAGCAAAAATAGCATAGGGGACATAACTTACATTTAGTGTGATGTATCCCTTGTGCTGATTCTTTGTGTTTTAGGAGACATTTTGCTGTGTCCTATTCCCATTCCCCCCACCCTTGCTGCTGTAATCTTCTAGTGCAATGGGGGTTAATACAGTAAGTGGTTGACAGGAGCTCTTGCCAAGAGGGCTCGACTATGCCTGCTCTTTCCTGCCTGATCTGCCATTCATAGACGCTGTACTAGAGCTTCTATGACTGGCACAGGATCTCTGAATGGGGGGTGGGCAGATGATTGATAGCATGCCAAAACTTCCCCTCCCAAAATCAAAATCCAATGGGATACCTTTTTACCAACAAAGGTTAAAGTGTTACTAAACCCAGGACCCTGCATTCACTATATCTGGTCTCCCACAGTACACACAACATGGAAATTAAATTATTTTAGTAAATATAAACTGCTAAATACCGTTTCTCATCAGCAGTATATAGCGGTTTTGTGACTTCTATAAGTGTCTAGTCGAGCACATGTTAAAGCTTGTAGGAGAAGTTCTCATTTTGTTCTCGAAGAATGCAGAACCCCTGACCTCTGTCTGGACAGTGCTGATTGACCCTGTGCTGGTCACCTGCTCTCCCTCAAGAAAAAAAAAAACCTCTTTAGCAATATACACCAAATTGAGCACGCGCAGAGTGTCTCCACACGATATGTCTTATCAGGAGATAAGAGGAGGACACTAGAAGATGGGGAGGATCAGAGAAGTCAGGATGAAACAGAGTTTTTACACAGAGGATTAACCCCTTTGGATCCCCAGTGAGTGTAACAAGCATGCTTTACTGCATATACAGACTGATTTTACTGTGTGGGTTTAGTAACACTTTAACACAAGAGTGACTTCAGAGGTTGCTTGGAACTTCTAGTGGTTTTTGGGCAGATTTCTCCTGGGTTTCAATTTTTTATCAGCATCATGGTATTATCTTGCCAGATAGAGACCCTGAGATCTCCACAATCCATTTTTCAAAATGTTTCCTCCTTTCCTGCTTTGTAATGCATGGCTTTTTATGGAGAATGGTTTGGATTACCATTGACTGATGTCATTTCAGGTCTGGAAATTTCAAACTTTAGATGTTCCTGAATTTATCAAATATTTGCCCAAAATCTAATTTGTATCTTAGTGCAGACTAGGAACATCAGTGAGGCACACACTCAAGCAGAAAATGATATTTCTGGAGGTGTTCTGTATACCATCTGTATACAGAACACCTCCAGGTTGCCATACTGCATTGCATTTTACAGAAAATTAAAGTGGCTACAAATTGAAAAAGAACTGTAATTATAATAACATTACATTAAATTTTCACTTGTGTCACAGTTGTGTATGCTATATTAATTTTTTCATTTGCTTTTTTTCCCACAAAAATGTAGTTACCCTTTTAAAAATGGCAGTGTACTTCCCGGTATGTGAGGGTGGCTAGGCATTTCTATGCCTACAGCCTCATAGCTATATATCAGCAGTGTGAGTTTTGACGGGAGTCACTTTGGGTTGGGGGCTCATGAAACCCAGTTTACTTTGCAGAGGCTGGGAGCTCCCCATATCCCTCTTATGTGCAAGTCACCCTGTGTCTCTTAGGGGCACAGAGTGACTAATGGACGCTAAGAATGCAGTTGGAATTACTTCAAATGGGACAGTAATATTTATCAGCCATATGAAGACTATTCCTGGTTGTTGATTCTGAACTAGATATGTGAATTGAAAGAGCTGATTACGCTGGTCTCTCCTCTACTCCAGTGCCGGAGCCGGACCGCCTGCTCTGTAGTGAGATCCTAATTCATCAATCCATTGTCTAGGTGTGAATTCCCATTCACTTTTTGTTTAGGTCACCCAGCTAGCTAACATAATTACCTTACTGTTTAGAGTGTTAAGTCTATTTCTGTATATAGCTGCCTTTGCATATGATCATGTGATCAGTCTCAGTGTGTATTGTATAAAAAGCCCATTTGAGTTTAACCACTAGCCTACAGAGCACTTACTGTATATCCCCTTCCTGCCCAGGCCAATTTCCAGCTTTCAGCGCTGTTGCACTTTAAATGACAATTGCATGGTCATGCAACACTGTATGACATTTTTATAATTTTTTTGTGACAGATAGAGCTTTATTTTGGTGGTATTTAATATTTTTTCTTAAACAAACCACCAAAAACCACTGAACATTTTGGAAAAAAAAAAACCTTTTTTCTTAGTTTTTGTTATAAAATTTTGTAAATAAGTGATTTTTCTCCTTCACTGATGTGTGCTAATGAGGCTGCACTGGTGGGCACTGCTAGGCTGCACTGATGGACACTGATAGGTGGCACTGATGGGCACTTATGAGGAGTCACTGGTAGGTGGCACTGATGTGCATTGACAGGCATCACTGATGGGCACTGACAAGCAGCACTCATATATGGCACTGATAGGCGGCACTGATAGGTGGCACTGATAGGCGGCACTGACTGTCACTGATAGGCGGCACTGACTGGCACTGTTAGGTGGCACTGACTGGCACTGTTAGGTGGCATTGATAGGCAGCACTGACGGGCACTGATAGGCGGCACTGATGCAAACTGATAGGCGGCACTGACTGGCACTGATAGGTGGCACTGACTGGCACTGATAGGTGGCACTGATTGGCAGCACTGATAGGTGGCACTGACTGGCATTGATAGGTGGTACTGACTGGCACTGATGGGTGACACTGAAAGGCAGCTCAGATGGGCACTGATATGTGGCATTGATGTGGCACTGATGGGCACTGAAATGTGGCACTGATGTGGCACTGATGGGCACTGGCAGGTGGCATGGATGAGCACTGAGAGCTGACACTGAAGGACACTGACAGGTGGCACTGCTGGGCACTTATGAGGAGTCACTGGTAGGTGGCACTGATGTGCATTGACAGGCATCACTGATGGGCACTGACAAGCAGCACTCATATATGGCACTGATAGGCGGCACTGATAGGTGGCACTGATAGGCGGCACTGACTGTCACTGATAGGGCGGCACTGACTGGCACTGTTAGGTGGCACTGACTGGCACTGTTAGGTGGCATTGATAGGCAGCACTGACGGGCACTGATAGGCGGCACTGATGCAAACTGATAGGCGGCACTGACTGGCACTGATAGGTGGCACTGACTGGCACTGATAGGTGGCACTGATTGGCAGCACTGATAGGTGGCACTGACTGGCATTGATAGGTGGTACTGACTGGCACTGATGGGTGACACTGAAAGGCAGCTCAGATGGGCACTGATATGTGGCATTGATGTGGCACTGATGGGCACTGAAATGTGGCACTGATGTGGCACTGATGGGCACTGGCAGGTGGCATGGATGAGCACTGAGAGCTGACACTGAAGGACACTGACAGGTGGCACTGCTGGGGCTACACAGATCATCAGGGCACACTGATCATCAGTGCTCTGATGATCTGTGTACATGTCCCCTCTGAGGAATGCCGATTACTGGCTCTCCTCTCCTCGCTAGCTGTCTGTGTGACAGCTCGTGGGGAGAGAAATGCTGATAACTGGCATTTCCCTGTTTACATGTGATCAGCTGTGATTGGACACAGCTGATAACATGACTGAGCCGACACAGCGCACCGCCGATCGCCGCACTGCGTGCTCCGGGAGCCGCGCATGCGTGGTTAGAATGGGAGGACGTCAAATGACGTCCTCCCAGAACGAGAGAAACCACCTTGCATCTGTCATATTACTATATGGCAGGCGGGAGGCAGTTAAAATAAAGAGTTCCATGTTCAGACAGACTGGTGTCGCCGAGTCTTGTATAGTCGGCTGTGGTGTCTGTTATCGGTGTTCTGACGGGAAGCGGTATTCTAACGGTAGTACTCATGCGCAGTGTGGGTCGGTTCCGCTATATGAGGTCTAAGGTACTGCTGATTTGACTGCTAGTCTCAAGAGATTGGGAGTGAAATTAGATGGTGTCACTGCTTTGCTTCTTACTGTTCTCCTTGTTGGGGGATGCAAAGTCTACCTCTGCCAAGATGTCCACCTCCACACAAAGACACAGTGCAGAACAAACAACTATAAATGATAAACTGTAGCCAGGCCATAGACAATGGCCATAGACAATGCTGCTGACTAGATCTTTGCCCTCTACAGCCATAGCTACAACAATTCAATTCCTCTTTCAGTGTGTAGTGATATCATAAATTGAGACTGTAAAACAGTACTAACATTAAAAAGGGATAGTACACGGGGTGCTGAGGGTATCACAGTGCCATGAACAGTTATACTCTCCGTGGCCATGGCAAACATACATATACAAATGAATAAAATGCTGGTTGGAAGGTTCCACGATTGAATACTTGTACATGCGTTGACTCTCTTGCATGGTCTATGATTCTTTTTGACAGGCTTCATTGTCAGACACATTTAAATGCTCAGTGAGCTTTGTTGTTTAAGTCCCATTAGTTTTTATTTTATTTTTTTAGGCAAAACTTGACATGAGCACTTTATGGAAACAGTAGAGGTTTTTAGATGTTTAATATGTACGGTATAATTGAGTCACCATATTGATCAGTCTTTGGTTTGTTAAGTAGATTCAAAGATTAAGTTCATGCCTGCAATGCAAGCGCATCACTACTATTTTTTTACATTAGTCATTCAAGCCCACTGTTTTGCTGTGTCCATAGCACAGAGTCTGCATTCCCCATGGAGAGATTTTCCATAACAGGAAGGGAAATCTCCCCAATAAGCGCAAACTTGACAGAAGATTTAATTTCTTCTTTATCCAAAATCAACTTTGCCACAAACTTAAAATAACCCTAAAAAAACTGTATGTTAAAATCACTTAGTTACTATGCTGGTAATACCATTTACTATAGTGGGGATCACTATACACCATCCAAAATGATTTGTCAGCTGTGGATAATTGCTGCAAAACTGGCACAGTAGACATTTGCACCATGAACAAAAATGGAGGTCAGAACAGTGGGACCTGCTTAACATGCACCATTGGATTTTGCATACTCAAAATTCTACTGTGCAACATGTTAATTAAAGTAAATTATGCTTAGGAGAAAAATGATAGCTTCTTGTAAACAGGCGCTTAGTTTGACTATTCATGTTTCATTATGTTAAAAAAAAGAACTGAAAATTATATCTCATTTACAAGGGTGTAATTTCTTTGATATGAATGCCATTTTCTTTTTTTCTTCTCTATTTAATCAGTGTGTCAAATTAAGGTATGCATAATTTAAGACATGTGGTAAAGCAAGATGATAAAGCTGATACTTCCTCCCCCCTTAAAAGAGAAGTATGGGCTTTAGATAAAATCCCCATTATACTCACTTAAGTGGATGCAGAATCAATCTGATGCTGCATCTGTCCACCCCAGCTCTGCACTGAGAACTGAGCGATCAAACACCACTGATCGTTCAGTTCTCCCCCTCTGCTCTGAGCAGAGAGGTATGACTGTCAGTCTCTGGCTTTCTGCTCTGCCCCTTCAGAGTTCACTGGAGAGCTGGACTGTGGAAGGGGTGGAAGGGGCTGACCTAGACTCTCTGCGGATTACTGAGAGGCTGAGCTAGATGCCTGTCCAGGCTTATAGATGGATCCCGACCATTTGGTCGGGATCTATTCAGAGCCTTGACTACGTAAGGGATTTCCGGCAAGACAAATTGTGAATAGAAGTGCGCATGCACATAGGAACGTCCGGAGAAGAGTGGTCGATTGTGCGCATGCACGCAGAAATGCGCGATCGTGCACGCGCACGTACACACGCACGGCAAAGACAGGCTATTTAAAGAGTGTCTCTGCCCATGTTAGTTGCTGACTGGTCTTCAGCTCCCCCGTGTCCTGCTTGTTCCTGTGTGATTCCTTTGTTGCTGACCCGGCTTGTTCCTGACTCGACTCTGATTGCTCTCCTGATTGATACTGGTTCCTGACTTTGGCTCTGCTCCTGACCTTGGCTTTCCTTCAGATTCTGTACCATGCTGCCCAACTGTTGATGACCCTGGCTATCCCTGTGACACTGCTCCTGTCTCTTACCCTCACTACCTGCCTTGCTCTGGTGCACGCCTGGCAATCTACAAGACCTGCTCTTCTTGTTACTACTGTGCCTGAGTCAGAGGATCATCAGTCTTCCAAGTTCATCATCTGCAAGAGCTGCAAACAACAACTACTGGCGCTCTTGTCCCCTTGTCCCTAGACTCCCTCTGTTCCAACTCCAATGTGTCAGGGATAGTGACACATTTCAGTCTCCCATCAGGTACATGACAAACTGGCTTTGTGACATCAACTGACAATGAGCTTCAGCCCGCTGTTGGTTGAAAAATGGGTCACAGGAGTGGGGAACTAACTGCACTCCTTTGATCCAAAGAAGAATTAAAGCCAAAAAAGTTTTAACTATGCTTCTTCTTTAAGAGCTTGTTTAACCTGGAACTTTTTTTTATTTTGGAAAGAGTAGGTAAGGGTAAAAACCCTTCCCAGGCTATTGTTTCACTATCTGTGTACCATTAGGGAAATTTCCCTTTACGTCTTGTTTTAGAGATGCAAGAGAAAGTTAGATGAAATCTCCCAAAATGAGAGGTATTCCCCTCTTAAACAGCTGTCACTGGAACAGGTGTCCCCATTGTAAGATTTCTCCTCACCTTTTGTTTTGAGTACAATCTTGGATTTCCCATTTCTTTCTCATTGACAAGGGTCACAGTATACATAAAGAGGTGAAAGTAATCTATGGGGAAAGAGACAGCAACAAAAACTTAACAGAAGGTCAGTCTTTTTCCTCTCTGTCTAAAGCTACATGCACATGGATGTTTTTAGATATAAAATATACCTAGTGTAAAAAAACATCGTATTTTCCTCTGCCCCTGGCATACAGCACAGACAAGTAGGTGACACCACCATAGCTCCCAACTGTCCCTCATTTCGATGGACTGTCCCTCATTTAGAAGAAAGTCCCTCTGTCCCTCATTCTTCCTCATTTTTCCCTCATTTTGGTCTGATCTATATAGTTGTATATAAAATTCACTACTTAGCTATCAAAAAATGTTTTGCAGTGCTAAACCTTTCATCCGGTTTCTAAATTGTTGCGTTTGTAAACTTCAGAAACCAATATAAAGGAATAGTAGTGATAAGAATGCACTTATCAGTTTAACCTAACATTTTTTTTTGTACAATGTTTCTTTAAGGTGAACGTGGCAGGTGGTGTGTTCTATGCCTACATACTTTTGCTAGCAGGTGTCTGTCATTCCCATCTGAGAAAGTTGGGAGGTATGGACACCACTGAAATCTAGGAAATACAGTAGTGTCTTCTCTACACCCTTATCTTTCTGACTGGACAGTAAAGGGTAGTAGCAGACTAAATAGGTCATTCCTTTACTCACTATATTCTCTCCTTCAATCAGCATGTCCCTTGTCAGCATATGTACATACACTTCACCAAATGGCCTCTTATTCCTTGCCTGCTGTCAGGAATGGACTCAGCACTGGTGGTGGGACTCACCTGCCGTGTGGGGTGCAGTACCAGGGCTGACCAGCGGGTGCTCTCAGCAGCCAGAAGCTCACGCCTGCAGTCAGCCAACACCTGGGGCTGATTGCAGGAGGTGTATTTAAGGAATGACCAGGCCTGTGATAAGTGCCTTGGTGTATGCCCCTGTACCTTGTATCCTGTGTTCCTGTTCCTCTGCCTATCTGATTTTTTTGCCGACTCTGCATTGTTCCTTACCCTGCTGACTGTCTCCTGTTTAACCCCTGGCTTGCCTGACCATCATTCTGCCTGATCCTCTGTACCGTGCTCCCCGTCAGTTACTGAACCCGGCTTGTGACCCTGACCATTCTCTCCCTGATCCTTTGTACCGCGCTGCCCATGAGTTCCTGAACCCAGCTTGTGAACCTAATTATTCTCTGCCTGCTCCTTCGGTACCTCGCTGCCCACATGTTGCTGACCTGCCCTGCCTGACTATGCCTTACGCTACCCAGACGATCCATCCATCCTGCACGGATCCAGCCATCCCTTCTCACACCTTCTGCCTCTGCACATCAGGCTTCCTACCTGCATATACCTCTGGCGGATCCCTCTACCACGAGCAGGTGTACTCAGGGGCCGCGACCTGGTTCCTGTCTGCTCCAAGTTCATCCCCACCATCAGGGGCCCTGGTGAATAAGCAGACTGGGACTTAGACTCCGCGCCCTGGGGAAGCCTGTCCTGAGGACTGCTAGGGGTATCACCAGACGGTCGTTAACAGAACCATATGGCCGGCCTGACCCTTCCACCTCTCCAGCCCTGACTGCGCCTATGTTCCTGCACATACTAAGATTAGTGGAAGGTTGGTTTATTTACTGAGCGTTGTATATTTGGGTAGCTAATAATAAATTATATTATTATATCATTCCTGAAGCTTGTTACTTCCCTGTGTCAGTCCACACATTTCTGGTCATACCTGGATCCCTGACACCTGCCTTTTCCAGTCTGATTGCTAGTAGAGTAAAATTGTTCTAATGGTTCCAAACCATTCTCACTGATGGAAAATTGCTTTTATTGCCCTGCTTCCCTGTTGAGAAGATTCCCCATTGCCTCCTGTTCTGTCTGACAACCATCAATCTCCCTACCAGGGAAACAGATAGCAATAACATTCTTACAGGTGTTTTAATCCCTCTCTGCTCTGTCCAAAAC